ACCAGTGTAGGCATCTCCCTTATTGTAAAACTTAGATTGGCTAGAGATAATTAGTCTTAGATTCTCTGAGGCCAACACTGACCCCCGATACCAGCCACAACTTGTAAAATTCTTACAATCCAACCCGGGTATCAGGAAGATATTAAATCCTTCAGTTGGTTTCGGTGGAGACATGGTTATTGGAATAACTGTGTTGACCGCATCGGCCAGCTGAATGCAGGAATTCATCAGGAGCATGGCTGTAATTCAGGATGAAAAAGAAAACAAATAATCAGAGTTGGAAGGGACCTTGTAGGTCATCTAGTCCAGCCCCCTCCCCCAAGCAAGAAACCCTACACCATTCCTGACAGATGGCAGTCCAGCCTCTTCCCCACAAGTCATCTGATCTAAAACTGCTCAATGCAAATCTTCTAGTTCAGTGCATTCCAATCTCGGCAACTTTGAATCTGATGGACTTCAGCTCCCAGAGTTCAAGTCCGTGTACCTTCATGTTGCCAAAGCTGAGAAAAATTATTAGAATTTTTCTTCCAGCCCTATGATTTCTATTCTATTCTATTCTATTCTATTCTATTCTATTCTATTCTATTCTATTCTATTCTGTTCTGTTCTGTTCTGTTCTGTTCTGTTCTGTTCCGTTCCATTCTGTCCCACCCCATCCCATCCCATCCCATCCCAACCCATGCCACCCCACAAAAACTAGCTACTTGGACTTTGTATACAGGTCAGCAAGAGTTAAGCAAAATTAAAAGATAAAAATAAAATAAAAAACTAAAAAAGCATAAACCCCCATTAACCCCATTTTCCCTGAGCTTAGCAAACTGCCTTTCTACCACCACCACCCCACTCCTGGGCAAGCATTCTCCTAATGCTTTGGGCTCTGTGTGTGTGTGTGTGTGTGTGTGTGTGTGTGTGGTTGTTGTTGTTGTTGTTGTTGTTGTTTTAAAGAGACAGACGAGGTCTGGAGGCGAGGCCCTTTCGCTGCGATGCCCGGGCGCGGCAGTACAAACCAGCGTTGGTTTTACAGGGCGGGCGGCGGGCGGATCGAACTGGGCCCCACACACGAATCCGTGACGGGACCGAAACGAAGACGAGGAGAGAAAAAAACCCGAAACGAAACCGGTTTTTGCAGAGGCGAGAATCAATGAATCCCGTTATAATACCCAACAAGCGAGAGAAGCGCCACTCCTCCTGGCGCTGCTGCCCCCGCGGTGGTCGCCAAGAAAGCGGTGTGTGTGTGTGTGTGTTTGTGTGTGTGTGTCTTTGATCAAGAACCCCCCCCCAAATGTTGCAATGAGGGGGGTCCTCGCCCCCCACTCGCCCAAACCGACGCTCCTGAGTCCCAACCCACCTGCCAGGAGCGCCGCTGGACCGCAGCCTCTCCGCCGGCTCCTCTGCACCGCACAGCGCCCTTTCTCCCTTCCGACTCCGACTCGCACGCGGAGCCGAGACCCTCGCCCGGCCCGAGACGCCTTCATCATCCCCCCGCCGGCTGCTCGGGAGCAAAGTGGCAGCTCCCCCGGAGAGGTGAGGGAGCGGTCCTTTGCCCCGTCCCGGACTTTGAGAAGGGCGGGGAGGCGAGCCCGGTTGGAGAGAGTTTTGTTTAATTTACTTTACTTGATGGTCATTGCGCCTCGTATAACGAAATTAAACCTCATCTTCAGTGCACATCATGACCATGAAAATAAACACAAGCGCGCATCTTTCTCACTCTACACACTGAATTGAAAACCCTCTGATATTGCATTAATTGCCCTATAGGGTAGAATTCAATAGAGTTACTGCCCTGGGATAGAAGCTGTTTTTCAGCCTGTTAGTCCTTGTTTTTATTATTGTCCTGTACCGTCTGCCAGATGATAATAGTTCAAAAAGAACGGAGCCCAGGATGAGATGGATCTTTAAAGATTACAGTGCACTATACAGGAATGCACTACCTGACTCTGTTGTTACATCCTCTAACCCCTAATCCTTTAACCTCAAACTATCCACTATTGACCTCACCCCTTTCCTAAGAGGTCAGTAAAGGGCCTGCATGAGTGCACTGTCATGCCTACCTTCCCTGTCCTATTATCTCCATTTATTCGTAGCTATTTCCTGTGTTCTTACTCATGTTTATACTTATTATCTTTTAAGCAATTGACCAATCAAATTAATCAAATAAATAAATTCAATAGAGTTACTGCCCTGGGATCGAAGCTGTTTTTCAGCCTATTTGTCCTTGTTTTTATTATTGTCCTGTACCGTCTGCCAGATGGTAATAGGGTATCACCCAGAAACTTAAAACTGGCCACTTGCTCCACTCGATCCCCATTGAGAAGCAAGAGCTGGATGTCTGATCTGTTCCTTCTATAATCCACTATAAGCTCCTTGGTTTTATTGGTGTTGAGGACCAAGTTATTATCTCCACACCACGAAAGCAACCTGTCCACCTCATCTCAGTAGGCAGATTCATCCCTGCCCCACCCCGGAGATGAATCCCTCCATTGTTGTATCATCTGCAAATGTAGTAACAGTATTACTAGTGTGAGTGGGAATGCAGTCATGCAGATAAAGAGTATAGAATAGAATAGAATAGAATAGAATAGAATAGAATAGAATGGAATGGAATGGAATGGAATGGAATGGAATGGAATGGAATGGAATGGAGTAGGGTAGGGTAGGGTAAGGTAGGGTAGGGTAGGGTAGAGTAGAGTAGAGTAGAGTAGAGTAGAGTAGAGTAGAACAGAACAGAATAGAATAGAATAGAATTATTTATTGGCCAAGTGTGATTGGACACACAAGGAATTTGTCTTGGTGCAAATGCTTTCAGGGTACATAAAAGAAAAGATACATTCATCAAGAGTCAAGAACCACAAGATACAACACTTAATGATAGTCATAGGATACAAATAAGCAATCAAATCATACTAGGAAACAGACAATATAAATTGTAAGGATATAAGTTGACAAAGTTACAGTCATAAGTAGGAGGGGATGGGTGATAAGGAGTGATGAGAAGATTAATAATAATAGTAGTGCAGATTTTGTAATAGTTGAACAGGGTTGAGGGAATTATTTGTTTAGCAGAATGATGGAATTCGGGAAAAACTGTCCTTGTGTGTCTAGTTGTTCTGGTGTGCAGGGCTCTATAGCATCGTTTTGAGGGTAGGAGTTGAAACAGTTTATGTCCAAGATGGGAGGGGTCTGTAAATATAGAGTAAGGGACTCAACACACAACCCTGTGGTGTTCCAGTGTTAAGAATAAGGGCTGAAGAGGTATGATTACTGACCCTCTGCAGGAAGTTTCAGAGGTGGAAACCGGGCGGAACATGGCTTTGGAGGAGCAGTCCATCCATCTTAAAAGGACCAAGGTTGAGAAACAATGCTTAAATGACCCTTTACACAAAATCTTTGGGTTCTTCGTCTTCTTTATGATCTGATTATGATTATATTTTCGTCTCCCAGGGATGACACACAGGTAGATTTTCTGCATGACGGTCTCTCCCCAACCTGATCTTTCAGGTTAAGGTTTTATGACCTATATTCCCACCAGTGGAGCAATTCTGGTCTATTTATAGGCAGGTTTTTCTTTCATCAAAGATAAAGAGTTAGGCTTCATGCACCATAATTACCAACAGCAATTGCAGAATAAGTACCAAATGAACTTTCCAGTTCAGACAATCATGTGTATCTAACTACCTAACTAACTTGGCCTCTGTTTTCAGCTGAAAAATCATGTCTACAAGGGCTACGCGTGTCTAAATAGAATAGAATAGAATGGAATGGAATGGAATGGAATGGAATGGAATGGAATGGAAGGGAATGGAATGGAATGGAATGGAGTAGAATAGAAAATAGAGCATATTGGGCATGTTTAGAGCAGAGCAGAGCAGAACAGAACAGAGTTAGAATAGAACAACAGAGTTAGAAGGAACCTTGGAGGTCTTCTAGTCCAACCCTTTGCTCAAGCAGGAAACCCTACACCACTTCAGACAAAACTTCTGAAGAATTTCCTTTGCTAAACAAGACAGGTATTAAATGATTCGTGCCTGGTTTTAAGACCTTTTTGCTACTGGTATTAAGCGAACCACTGCAGTTGTTAAGTGAGTCACAGGGTCATTAAGTGAACCCAGTTTTCCCCATTGGCTTTATTTGCTAGAAACTCTGCTAGGAAGATCGCAAGTGGTGATTGTGGGACCCCAGGATGCTGTTATAAATACATGCTAGTTGTAAATCACCTAAATTTTGATCCCATGATTGTGGGGAATGCTGTGATGGTCGTATGTACGAGGAGGCCTGGACCTAATTCTCTGTTTTCAGTGCTGTTATAAATTTGAACGGTCATTAAACTGAAGGGGAATAGTAGTAATAAATAAAAGGGGAATATTATAGCATTAGTGGAAACTATAGAAAATTTGTTATTCAAGCACTTTTGGAATTTTCTTTTCATTCTGTTTCCCTTAGTCCATCCATTAACACTTTTAATTTTTTAAAAAAGGCGTACTTTAATCCAGAAAAATAAAATATTTGCCCAGGGAATGAGATATTGAAGGAAGTAAAAAAGAAAAAGAAAGCATGCTTTAAGCCAGAAAATGAGAGTCAGTTTTGGGTAGTGGTTAAAGCCAGCTGGCTAGAAACTAAAAAGACCAGAAGCCAGCTAATGTCATTTTGAGCCAGTCCAATTCTTAATACCTTCCTCATGGCAAGGGTGTGGAAGAGCCCTTTCACACACACACACACACACATGCAGAGTTCATTGCCATCTTCCCAGAACCACGCACTATAAACCATTTTACGAAGGTGCTTTAGTAAACATCGTGAAAAAAAAGTACTCCCTAATATAAGCTGTTTTTTTCTTTCTTTCTATTTTCTCTTTCTCTTCTCCATTTTGCCCTCTACACTTTTAGAACTTTCTTTTGCTTCCGTTTCCCTTAGTCCGTCTGTTAATATTTTATTTTATTTTATTTTAAAAAAGGTGTACTTTAAGCCAGAAAAGTAAAATATTTGCCCAGGCAATGAGATGTTGAAGGAAGTAAAAAAAAAAGAGAGGGAAAAGGTGTACTTTAAGCTAGAAAAATAAAATATTTGCCCAGACAATGAGATGTTGAAGGAAATAAAAAAAAGAAAAAAATGGCGTACATTAAGCCAAAAAAAATAAAACAGTTGCCCAGGGAATGAGATGTTGAAGGATTTTTTTTTTAAAAGGGAATGGGGAAAGGTGTACTTTAAGCCAGAAAACTAAAATATTTGCCCAGGGAATGAGATGTTGAAGGAAGTAAAAAAAAAAAAAAAGAGAGGGAGGGAAAAGGTGTACTTTAAGCTAGAAAAATAAAATGAGACAATGAGATGTTGAAGGAAATAAAAAAAAGAAAAAAATGGCGTACGTTAAGCCAAAAAAAATAAAACAGTTGCCCAAGGAACGAGATGTTGAAGGAAGTAAAAAAGGGGGAAAATGGCATCATGGGAAACCTCCATTGTCTCAAATTTGGGAACACCTCACTGTAGTCATAAAAAGTGACGGCTTTTATTGTTTTTATTGCCAGGGTGGTGAACCTCAGACACCTAAAAATGGATCGGTTTCTGGCATTCCACATTGCTGACCAAGTTGTTTGCCTTGTGGACAGCTGAGGACCAAGGTGAGACAAGGATGGGGTGAGGCTCACCAGCCCTCTTTGACCTATTCTTCTCAGATTCCTTTGGGGCATCCTCCGTATTAGTCATTCAGATCTGGACAGGTAAGTGTGCGAAATGGTCACTTTTTTCAACGTTTTTAGACCAACTGAGTTTTGATCCATTGCTTTCGAGAGGAATTGGCCTGTTGACCAAGTGTGATATTGCGGGTTGAGAGAGAGTGTTTGGTTCGAAGTCACCCAGCCAGCTTTAACGCCTAAGGCAGAACTAGAATTCACTGTCTCCTGGTGATTGGCCCATAGTCACCCAGCCAGCTTTCATGCCTAAGATGGAACTGGAACTCACCGTCTCCTGGTGATCGGCCCAAAGTCACCCAGCCAGCTTTCATGCCTAAGGTGGGACTAGAACTCCCAGTCTCCTGGTGATTGGCTCAAATTCACCCAACCAGCTTTCATGCCTAAGGTGGAACCAGAACTCCCAGTCTCCTGGTGATTGGCTCAAATTCACCCAGCCAGCTTTCATGCCTAAG